CGATACAAAATTTGAAAATCTACTGGGTCAAAAAATTGCGACCGCATTTCAAGGTGTTGTAGTCAGTTGTCATTTTCGCTGAAAGTTCTTCAACTAAAGGCAAAACATTCACTCATTGTGATCACTCACCCATCGGCATCTTGTCTTATTTGTTGTTTTATTCATACAACTTTCATACAAGCGTCTGCTAGCACTGTACTATAGAAGGAACGAGGTGGTCAGTTATAGGCGGAGAAGACGGGGAAGGTCTTGATTCTGGACTTGAACAAATGGGGGCAGTGAGATGACAGCACGGATGGCCGGGAGAAACATTTCCTGTGGCACAAAGCAGTCGATTCAAACCGCTCAGAGTCACCGAGATTTCTGAGTGCCCCCCCCCCCGCCGTGTTTTTTATTCATCGTATCACGGCAGAGTGACGTATGCACACACACACACAGTGGGCCACAGGTAAGTCCGTAAGGCTGCGTGTGTATATTTTGCCCGCCAGGCATTCACTGAATCCAGCCAGCATGTTGCTTTGCTCTTCTCACTGGCGGTGACTCACTGGCTCCAGTCAGAGGCCAACCACGGCTAATCTCTGACTTTGGGGGCCCATTAAAGACAAACACAGATTGGCATCAAGTAAGAGTAAACCCATTACAGTAATGGCACATGGCAAGACTTTTGTTTTTATTATTTTGCTTCCTCTGGTCGTTATCTCCTGCAAGGTAGCGGCAATTTATTTATAGCAGCCGTGTTAATTTGATTCGTAAACATGTTTAGCATAGGCAATACTGTAGCTTGAACATTAACGTTGTGTGTGGAGCACTTCAAGTTGGTAAACACTGATACAATTGTATCCAGACCCGTAGCACACTGCTGTGGACAATTATGAATAGTCAGTTAAATAGATGTATGTCTTCTCCACGTAAAAGATCAAATAATTAGTCGCGAAAGCCTTTGGGCTGATGGATATAATGTGCAATTTGTTATTTAGAAAAATTAACAGAAGTCTAACAGAAGTCGACTTTAATAACGATGCTAATGTTCTGAGAATATCATGATTCTCTGTAATCTCTATTGTATTTTTTTGTAGAAATTATCTGTTTTGATGAGTGGTGCAAAGTTTGAGGAGTCTTGATGTTTTGTGTGGATCATAAGGCAGAGAAAGTTAACTCCATCTGTATAAAAAAAAACATAACCCAAAGACGACAAGTTGCATTTAAAATCACTCTGTGTATTCACAAGACTCACATTTGGATATTAAAAGTAATGTGTTCTGGCAGTTTAAGTACAAAAAGGCAAAATATTGTTGGCTTTTTGGTTTGTTATGTAGTTTTTTCGCCATACATTATTCTCATTATACAGAAACTAATCACCACGGTGTCTTACTTATGCTTCTCAGTGTGTTTTGGAATCATTGAACCATTGTTCATTTATACTTACAGATTTTTTAAACAATTGTTTTAATTAATACAGTATGCACGTGAATTGTATACACACTGAAAAACAAAACGTGACATTTGATGTATGCTGCGTGACAACATTTGATATGTTGTTACTGCTTTGTGTAACCTTAGCAGTGCGAACAATTCACTTCACTTTCCTTCACCGTCTGCACATTCGGCATTGGAAAAACATGAAGTTTCAGAAATAATCATTCCATTCCTCATGACACAGAATCCATAGCATCATGTGTTCATAATCTCAAGCGAAATGTCTTCAATGTTCAACACGTTTTTTTGACGTGATTAGACATTCTTTATAGATGTACCTGAACATTGGAAGTTCCCTTATGGAGGCTCTACTGGATTTTGTAGATTTGACGTAACAGCGTTATTGTGGGGAAGGTTCAGCTTGCCTTGGTGGTGGGTGAAGACATTGTAATACCTTGTAAACAACGTTCGTGCGCAAGTAGCAAACGCAGAGAATGAACAAACTGATACGCGAGTAAACTCAACAGCACGCCGGCAGCAGTGCTAAAGACAACATCAGTGCACTTGCGATGCAAAGCCACGCGCAGCCCAGCTGGTATCAGTGTCCCGTTAAGGTCTGTTGCTCTGCCTTACAGTGCGATCCATTTACGGATATCCAACCGAATTATAATGATCCCGGCTTTATTTTCAACAGGGTGATTGAACGGCACAAAGAGTGACCAGAGTTGGACAAAGTCTATGAAGCAGAATGTTAAAGAATGTAATAAGTGTATGCAGATAGGGTGGGAGACTCAGTTCCGGATTAAGCCTGTAGCATATGTTATAAAGGGGCCCTAAAAGTAAACAAACACAATTTTTTTACTTGCACAGTAAAGTAATTGTATTTTTTCATTTCCTATACAGCCAGATAATACGACAAATCGCTAACCTTAAACACGCAGTCGTTCATAAAAGTCGACGGCGGTATAGTACTATAGTAATAGAGCAAGTGCAGAATCACTGAACCGGAATTGATAGCTTGAAGGCAATTAACGCGGGGCCCTTGAAAGTGCGGGGCCCGTAGCTACTACATGTGTAGCTACTACATATGTAGCTACTTTTGCTGCTAGGAAAATCGGGCACTAGGGAGACTTGATAAAAGGTAAGGCAGGCGCGGACCTGCGATTTCTTGTTCGCGTCACTGCTGGCGAGCAAGCTCCTCCCACCCTCAACCAGTATATATAAAATACGGGTTTCTTAGAATTTCTCTCACTTGATACAGCTATCGTGCTTGTGTTGCCTCCGAAACGTCGTGATTTTTATTTTATTTTTTATTAATTTTTTTTTTACCTACGTGACTTTACCGAAAAAACCTAAGAATATGAATCATTGCAGTCACGAAAGCTTCAAATCTAGAATCCCGTCTAGAGGCTATTTTTGCCCAACTCTTCCAGGCTGTCCAGACGCCGTGGAAGAGGTCGTGGTAACTCACATTTAACCCACCACTTTCAACCTGCAGATGGACCGTTCCGTAGCCCCCATTTATACTGCTTCGGTGAGACGAGGGATTTATTTTTTTTAAATAAAGAAAGTTGCCCCATTGTTTCAACTGAGATCGAACCGGTCACGTCTGGATCGCAAGTCAAGTGGTGCTAACCATTACACCACACCGGCATCTCGGGACGGATATAAATGACTCAATGAAACACGTCGCTTTATTTATAATGTGTCCATATTATTTAGTGGGGGTGTAGCTGTTAATAAATCACTCTGTAACAAACATGTTCACGGCACAGATGCAAATTCCCCCACTCACATTAATTATAATAATAATAATGCAATTTGTAACGCGCGCAGTGTTTCACGGGCATGAATGGCCCGTAACTGTGAGGCGGGGAGCCAAGCTTAGTGTCACACGAAAGCCGGGAGAAAGTTAAGCGTAGATTGTTGCGAATTTTGCAATCTGTGTAGGTTTTGCAACTTTGGTTAATTTGCGAAGCTGATTAAAAAAAAAGCAATCACCATGTTGCCCCACACACAATGAAGGCATGTACACAATCTCGTTTTGGTATATTCATTTAATGATTAAACGAATCATCATGAAGCAAACGCCCTTTGGCAGTATGGCGGTACAGTAGCGGCAATAACTTACTTTGTAATGTTTTTTTTATATTAATGCAATTGTTAAAAGCTGGATTTGGGGCTGTTACCAATGGAAAGTGTGTTTTGTGGGATTTTCAAGACATGGCAATAAAATAATTCAACTCTAGACCTCAACAAGTCACAAACCCCTCTCTGGTAGTTCAGATGTTCTCATGTTTACCAGCTCACAGACAATATATACACAAATATAATATCTGGCTCCAATGGTGTAGTGTGGTTTGCATGGGACCTGGTGTAGATAATGAAATGCCCCCCCCCCCGGCCCCCCAGTTCAATGTCCTCTCTTCATAGCCCGGGACCTCGGCTCCTCTGACACACGTGGGTCGGTGCAGTTGCTCCGTCTGCACGCTCGATGCTACACCACGAACTGACTCACGTAGCCATTCAAGAAAGGTTCGTCCTTAGAATGGGGGGGAAGGATTGGCAGCTGCACAAGGGTGTAATGAGGCAGAATTTAAGGACTTGAAATGAAACGCGTTGCCAGGATCTGCCCTTGTGCTGCTTTGGAAGCAAGTTTATCGATCATACGGTATATCACTGCGACTTCAGAATCCAGTGGCTTTATTTCAGAACAGCTTCATGCAGCAGTTGCTCACACATCAGTCTTGTGATCTTAACCACGAGATGGAAGAGTTCTTTTGGCGTTTGCAATTTTTTAAAAATTCTGCTTGGCACGAGTGTGCATTTAACTCCACAATTTACGGTGTAGATATTTGTACAAAATACGAACAGAAATTGGGCAAGTGAATACTTAAAAAATGCGTGTACTTGATAGCATGCTGTGATTGTGTGCGTGTGTGCGTGAAGTGTTTACAGTAATACTGCTCACAATGAACAGGTCCATTTACAGAAAGGCCTTCGATAATTACAAACCTACTCGTGATTGTTAATCTTAAATTAGCAAAAACTAAAAATAAACGAACACATTTCGTTTACAAAAATAACACTGCTTGTGCTTAAGGTAATTACGATTGCAATTTACACAGAAATGTTACACGATTGTACAATCATGTATTGATAGGGACAACGATAATCAAGTAATTATAAGGGTATTTTTTTCAAACATTTTCTTACCTCCTTCATAAATATACAAAATAGCGGCCTACACCCATCCATGTACAATTACAGTATTGTATATCTATTTTTTGTTTTTCCAAAACATATTTTTATTAATATGAAACGCTATGCTATATTACAACCAAACGTTTGTACCTGTGGAAACAATCGATATACGCAACTTGTAAAAGAAAGGTGTTTATAAAGTTCCTCGCTCCCATCGTGCACAAATATTAATGAAACAAAACCAACTATCATGTCCTGATTTGACGTCCGATTTTCAAATTTCACAGTTTTAATCCACCAACAGCAAGCGTTATTAGTTTCAAACTTACCGTGAAGTACGTTTTAGTGCATACCGTACAAAGGCACATTATTAATTGGGAGAAATTTCTCAAGGATAATTTTACATGCGTAAAACTCCAAATGTTTATATTTGAGACACATTTGAAAACATTTACAAAGTGTACGTTATATTGTGTTCATAAAAAAAATAAAAGCAATGTACATAACATACAAACAGGGTAACCAACAAATTTTTTGGTAGCAATCAAGTAAGGCAATCCTAGCTTCAAATTTACAATGTCCAATATATAAAAAGGTGTTATTTCGTATTGTTCTCTTCACAGCATACCTGTACAATGTTTATCAGGTCTGATTTGATAAATTGGAATTTTTGGTATACATGTAATTTTTGTAAAAAAAAAACTATCATTATCAAGTCATGTTACAAGTTGTCATCATTTCCATCTTTGCTGAAATCAGGCAAGGGGATTCGAGTCCAGATCACCAGTCGGGCCTAGCTGAAAGATCACGTGATGTAGCAGAATCCCTGCGTAGGAGAAATCTCCCAGAACAGTTACCTGAGTGGCAATGCAATACACGTAATGTTTAAGTGACCATTTTAGCAAGGTTTTTTGCTGTTGCAATGAAATCTCAGACAGGTTTATATTTATTGGCAATGTTGATTACGAACTCTGTAAAGGACTTACAAATGCAGTTAATGTCACACTGTTTTATCACATTGGCAACTCATCAGTCTCCCAAGCTCTGTGGCATAGTTGATGTTATTTTGGAAATGTGACGAACTTCTAATTCATTGCTCTTTGAAATGTGGCAGAAAAGCACTTCCACCCACTCGACACGTTTTTATTTTCTGCTGCACGACACGGAAGGCACAATTTTCAAGGAAGTTTTGTCTTCCTCGTACACAAAGGCACCGCTCAAACCTTCCGGCTTCTTATACATGTCTAGTGGGCGCATGTTCATAGGTATCTGCAGCGACTCGAACAAATCTTGAATTCCTTTCCATTCCATCGCAGCGTTCCAGTGCTGAGACCTCTTGAAGATAAATATAAGACCCATCCATCAGTGGAAGTCATGTGCGGTCAGGTTGGTAGGGAACGAAAGCCCTCAAGGCACCGCGGAAGCTGGGATCTCACACGTGCCAGCTACTGGGCCGTGGAGACCATCTGTTGGCTCAGGAAGTTGTCCATATTGGCATGGTTCTGAGAGAGCAAGTGTCCATGTCCGTCTGGGCCATGGTTTGTCTGAAACATCACCAGGCTTGCCGAGGATGCTGTGGTGAGAGGGGGACGAGAGGGTGGGGATGAAAGGGTTAGTTACTACCTACAAGGAACAGAAACAAAACAACGTGTACGACGCAGCAGCATCTCATCGCACGCAATTTGGGCAACAAGGACGTGTCGTCAAGTGCGTATTCACTCAACGGTAATCAGGGTCACGCCGCAATGCAGTGCTGTGGGTTGTGGTCCGTTGTTGCGGATTTTAGTGTGTAACCGTGTTATCAGCAGTTAATACATCACAAGTCAATGCTTGAGGGCAGAATCGACTATAGGATGTGATAATATCTCGTGTGTTTAATTCGATTCGCTTTTGCTGCCTCCATACTTTGCCCGTGTGAGTGTGATTAAACAGTGCTCATACATGCGGGTATATTGGTGCTTAACAATGTTGTTGTTTGTATTTGCATGCATTGAGTTTGTATGTAGGAACATGTACTTGAAAAATTGGCATATGTGTATTTACAGTGCATCGAGGCCGATGAGCTAATCCCCCAGAATGTGCCCAATCTCAGAAGCCTAACGGGGGTTTAGCCTTGATAGCGCTTCGTTTAGCCACCACCACCACCATGCATCAAACAGGTGTCACAAGCCACTGCGGGGGCTACGCGGTGAGTAGCAGAAGTCAGCGCAGCAAAATCCATCGTTGTCCCACACTATGCGCCTACGTCTTTGCTCCCCCGACTTCACCAACCCACACTGACCACAACGATGAAGCACGATCAGAAACCCACAGACGGACATCCAGCAGCGGATTGACACAAAATAAGTATAACCCGTAAAAACTAAGTTTTTCACTGTAAATCCTTTATATGCGTGGCAGCGAACTTAATATAAAGGATTTAAAAATATATTCGCCTGTGGAGGACGCGGGGATCGATCCCGCGACCTTTGGCATGGGAAGCGAGGGCGCTACCAACTGCGCTACTCCGCCACGGCCTGTGGAGGGGTTACGCTCTGGGCTCTTATACTGTGACGTTCAGCCAAAGCCATGAATGAGTTCTATTTGAATATATGTAAAATTAAATTTTTTTGCCTAAAAAGTGTAAAATTTTGGGAATTTTTTTTCACGAACATTAATTGTCTGGCACAACGAGTCTGTGTGGAAAATGTCAGCTCGATTGGATCACGGGAAGTGGGTTAAAAAACGACCGAAAGATTTGCACGGTCGTAAGCAAGCAAGCACGCAAGCAAGCAAGCAAGCATGCGAACTTAATATAAAGGATTAAAAAAAAACCCCTGGCCGTACTTGCACACCTGCACGCGCATAGGGGATGGCGGCCAAGAGTCATGGAAAATAAGTTGGGAGCTACAAAAAATAAATACCCCCAGCGAATTTAATTTGGCGTGTAGATACCGAAAAATTAAATAAAGCAGAGCGAGGTTTAAATTAAAAATCAAAGGATGCGAGGACAACGCGCGGCTCTGACGTGCATCCGAGAAGAGCCATATGCCACCACCGCGGAAGGACACGGGGGCAGCACCAGCAGTGCCCCCGTGTCGTGTCGCGGTTGGGCAGCGCTGCGTTTCCTGTCTGAGAAAACCTCCATTTCCACCCAATTATCGGCCTCACTGGATTTTCCCACAAAGTGCGCCCGCCAAGATGAACGTGTGATGGATTGGTCACGCTCTTGGCATCGGGAGGGGAGAGAGAGAGAGAGAGATTTGGGGTGTTGCGTTGTGGGGGAGAATGTCAGTGGGAGGGGAGGAGGAGCGAGGAGTTGTGGGCAGTTGGGGATGGGAGCCGAGTGGAGAGAAGGTGGGGGTGGCGTGTAGTAGTTGGGAGGGTTGTGTGATTGGGTATCAAGGGGTGGTGGGAAGGAGCAGGGAGATCAATCGATGGGATGCGAGTAGATTTCGAGGACAGGGTGTACTGTCTGCTTCGTGCAGCAACAAACAGTGCACTAGAAGATGCCATTGATAAGAGTCAATACATTTCCTGAAATGGGCAAGGTAATAAGAACTTAAGAAAAGCGACGGGGGGTGTTTTATAAACATTTTTTGGAGTTTGCATGTTCTCCCCGTGGTTCGGTTTTCCCTCCACATTTTGAAACATGCATTTGGAATTTTTGGCTGCTAGAGATTTCCACGCAATAAGCCACTTCGTTGAGCTATCGTTTGTGGCCAGGTTGCTCGCTTCTGAACAATAGCTTGTGTAGTTTTCGATTTAAAGTTTTCGTGACTGCAGGGATTAATCTTTTTGGTTCTTTCGGTAAAGTCACGTAGAAGGGAAGTAATAAAATAATAAAAAATAAAACATAATCAAACGTTTCGGCCACAACGCAAGCAGCCGTCCTCAGGTGAGGACGGCTGCTTGCGTTGTGGCCGAAACGTCGTGAGAATTATTTTATTATGTTTTATTTTTTTATTACTTCCCTTCTACGTGACTTTACCGAAAGAACCAAGAAAATAGCTATATAGCTCAGTGGGCCTTTCCTGGTGAAATGAAAAATAGTTTATAGTTTAGTTTTAGTTCATTCAAAGTCGAACAGTGGGAGGAAACAAGGAGAAAGAGAGGAGTGCCAAAATGGGCTGGCTGTGAATTGTGGGGCTCTAACAAAAATTGTGTGTCATGGTGACAGAATATAGGCGGCAACGTCTAGAGAGCGTATGACCAATTTTCTCGGAATGCACCAGATCATCAAAAACTCAGAAGCTAAGCAGGTTTGAGCCCGGCTAGTGCATGGATGAGTTACCACCGTGTACAGAGGGCTGGGGCAATGTGGTGTGGCAGGAGAAGGCAGTGCAGGAAAGTGAATTGTTGTAGCGTTCTTCTACGCTCCCACGATACACGCACCCCGATCTCACTAACCCGCACTGACCAGCGCGGTGAAGTGTGCTCAAATAACGCGCACGGCCCGCTCGGTATGGGGAGGCATTCATCCAGCAGTTGATCGACATAAAAGAACAGCGGATTTACATGATGGAGAGAGAGAGAGAGAAGTTGGTGTTGGGAAAAATGTTCAGAGTAAAGTCAGAAGTGAGCACCCTAGTGTGTTGAAGAGCACACCACCTGTCACTGGTGACATAAAACTTCCTTCACTAACCACAGCGGGACCCCCACTCCATTCGAGAGATTGCTGAGATTTGCTCTCATAGACGTTCTTTAGCTCTAGATTTGAAGCTTTCGTGACTGCAAGGATTCATATTCGTAGGTTTTTTCGGTAAAGTCCCGTAGGTAAAAAATTCAAATTAATAAAAGTAAAATAAAAATAAAATAAAAATCACGACGTTGTATCAAGTAATACAGCAATCGTGCTGTGACGGTTCCACCTGAAGACGGCAGCTTGTGTTGCCTCCGAAACGTCGTGATTTTTATTTTATTTTTATTTTACTTTTATTAATGTCAATTTTTTACCTACGTGACTTTACCGAAAAAACCTAAGAAAATGTTCTTCAGCTCCTCAAACGTGACTAAAATAACGGTCTCTTAGAGGTGACGCACTGATACACGGATTAACATTGAATTATTAACCTCACGATACATCATGTGTGCGTGCACATGTAAGAATACTTGTTGTTGTCAATTCGTATACCTATGTTGCATGTAATGGGATCGTGTAACCCTCGCAGCCACTAGTGGCCGATGCATTCACCGCAATTTGATATGTAAAAGAAGAATGAATTAATTAATAAATTCGCGACCCCGAATTGTGACAATTCATTTAATTGCCGGGTGAGTTGGGGTGGGGACAGAGGGGGAGGTTATACCACGGAGTAAATGTTTGCTTTCTAACCTTAGGCCTTCACCCAGCAGTGGATCGATCATAGCTGATGATGATGATGTAGTAAATGTGGCTTTGGGAAGTACGACAAGGACTCAACAGTACAGTACTGTGGAACTTGTGCTGTGTAAGACATTACATTCAAAATAATTGTAAACATCCTGCATATGTGTTCCGTGTATGCATGTACTGTGTTTGCGCACATACATCATGTACATGTATCTTCATCATTATCATCATCACCACTCTTACCCGACCACACAGTTTGCACGGTCAATCTCAGCAGGCTTTGATAAGCAACATGCTGCTTTACAGCACAGTATACGTAATGCAAAATAATAATTTGCGTCGTTGTCGAGAAGGAAAATAACAAATTAGATAAGGTAGACAACAACGGCCCAACGGCCGTCTTGGGAGTGCAAAATTTCAGCGGCACCGATTCAAGACAAGAAAACGCTGGAACGGTTTTGGCATACATTGTCTCATGAGCGAAGTTAGGCTCGCCTGAATAAATGCTGGTGAACTGCCAGATGTTTCAAGGCAACGATCCTCTGTTAGATTTCGATTTAAAGCTTTCGTGACTGCAGGGATTCATCTTCTTGGTTCTTTCGGTAAAGTCACGTAGAATGGAAATAATAAAATAATAAAAATAAAACATAATAAAATAATTCTCACGACGTTTCGGCCACAACGCAAGCAGCCGTCCTCAGGTGTAGAACAGGTCTGTGTGTCTGTGTGTGTCTGTCTTCTCGACAGACCTGTTCTACACCTGAGGACGGCTGCTTGCGTTGTGGCCGAAACGTCGTGAGAATTGTATTTTATTATGTTTTATTTTTATTATTTTATTATTTCCATTCTACGTGACTTTACCGAAAGAACCAAGAAGATGGATCCTCTGTTAGATTTGGTCCCATTTCGATGCAAAATTATATCATGCACAACACAAAACAATCATCGTTGTGCAGAGTATAAATAACAAAATAGACAATGCAGGATACGTTGTCCGACTGCCTAGTTTCGTACAACGTCACAGTCGTTTACAGCCCCTGTGTCAATGCACTGCTGGATTAATGCTCTCCCGCGCAATGTCGGTCATACTTCACCACACTGGTCAGCGCGGGTTTGGTGACGATGCAGGAAGGGGGGGCAGCCAGGTTAATAGCGCAGTTGGGCTAACCAACATTGTGTACATCTACCCGATCCGAATTCACATCGTCAGGTTCATCTTTGCACCGCTTACCACATATACGTAAACATATACAAAGCATTTAAAAAAATATATTACAGGTACAATGCACGACCGCGTAAATATATATGTAAATAAAATGGTCTGCACCTAGAGAATAAAATGTTTCTTGCCAAAATAATCCTGCGGACCTGAAGGCAGGCCTGGGCTGGAGGGCACACTGTGGGCTCCCTGGATGTGCTGAATGGAGCTCTCCTGAGCGTGCAGGTGCATCGAGGCGGGGCTCTGCGGGACAGACGTTAGAATTGAGTGCTCTGATTTTCTGTCAGTGTCAGGCGAAATAAGCACCTGTGCAGCGGGGAAGGTAGGGGCAGAATTGGTGGAGGGAGAGGAGGTGTTAGTGGGTGGGTGGGTAGGGGGGGGGGGTGCAGGGTGGGTGGGTGGGTGGGGGTGCAGGGTGGGGGGGGTGCAGGGTGGGGGGGTGCAGGGTGGGGGGGTGCGGAGTTAGTTGCGTCCACGTGGATGCGCGTAGCTGTGTTCAAGTAACACCGGTAGCGTTGTTTGCTACGTTGGTGCACAGGGGTGGGGAAATTTCTTCTTACCGAGGGATAAAATTATACTTTTAAAATAACATTTGTGGACCGCACATTAGCACACACACACACACGCACGCGCCTCACTCCCTTCTGCCTCTCACAGTGACGGAAGGGACTACACGTGCTGAAATTAGAAACGCAGTTTTTGCCAGGTCGATAAACGTTCCTCTCTAGTACCCGATTAGATGCTTGCAGTGATAAATAAAGATTGTTTTTGTAGGTAATTTAAAAGTGGTAGGACTCAAGTGGCTGTGGGTCATATGGAATGAAGCTGAGGGCCACGTATGGAAATTTGGCCGTATGTCACCCACAGCTGCATTAGTGAATGCAACACAAAAATCCCTCCATCGCCTCTTTAACGTAATTATGTTTTTGCCTTATGTGTCCAATATCACACTAAGTTGAGCTGAGTGGTAATTAAAAGGGGAGCAAGTTATAAAACTAAATTATATGAATGCTTAATTCTTTCCCCGTGACGACATATCCCACTGCTCTGTCAAGTATGTTCAGGTGTAGTTACATTTAGACGCTGTATGAATCTAAATCGCTTTTGTTGGTTACTAGTTTTAGTATTTTTTTAAAACTTTAATTCCATTTTGGAGAGCATTATTTCAATGGGGAAATTAACACAAGACAAGATACACACAGCACGGAGTATAAAATGTTAATATTTGATTAACATTTGGTAAGCGTTTGTGGTTTTAGCACTCGAGATTAGTGAAGGAATGAGTTGCACAAGGAAGGTGCACAATGAGTAATCGGCAAGGCACCTGGTAAAGGTGCGATGAAGATGATAATAATACGATCAGAAGTTGACTTAATGTGTGTCAGTGGCATTGCAGTCATGTTAATCAAAGAACATACATGTCTTAGAAAGTCATACGTAGGTTCAATCGAAGTTAAGATATTTCCTCAACGTTTGCAAAAACGAACACAATGCAAAAGCACATACCAACTTAATCCCCTAAAAGAGAATCTGTTAATCACATCGTTCCAACGATATATTTACGGGCAATGTTTGGTTGGTTTAGATCGGTGTTTCTCAACTCCAATCCTCACTAACTGAGAAATGCACACTGCACATCTTTAGTGGTGTGTTATTACGCAACTCACAATAACCGGGAATTTTATCGTCTCGGGAAGATCTACAGATTGTTCCATGACAGCTACCTCGAAAAGAGGACGTCCTGGGAAAACCAGGACAGGTTGCAACCCTAGTAGTGGGCTGGGTGGTGGCTGGGATCTGAGGATTGGAGTTGAGAAACACTGGTGGATGCCACTGGGCTTGTATGTACGTACAGTAAAACCTTGGATTGCGAGTAACTTGGTCTGCGAGTGTTTTGCAAGACGAGCAAATTTTTAAAATAAATATAAATTTGATAAACGAGCGAGGTCTTGCAATACGAGTAGTACGTGTATACGCTTTGTCTGCCGAGCGTCACGTGATCACAACTGATATACGAGTGCTTTGGATTACAAACACGTTTCCGGAACGAATTATGCTCGCAATCCAAGGTTTTACTGTACGTTGAATTTCTTTTGCACCGTACCTAACCAACCGTGCTAATGGGAGGTGCGGCTTTGCAGTGCCCTCACGGGGTAAGCGGCAGCGGTACCTGCTTGTTGGAGCTGTGGAGATTTCCGGTTTCTGTGATGACCATGGTTTGAGAAAAGCGTCCGTTGTGAGGGTACTGTGGTGGCTCTGCTTTGTGGCTGTAAAACGCTGCAAACGAAGACAAACACACAAAAAACAATGTTGTCACGTGTTTTTTGTTTACCACAAGGTCATTTTCAACTGAAGCCTGAAGCATTCGAGGTTTATTTTGTAGGTGGCTCAGGGGGGCCAGAGAACTGATTTTGAGTTCAATTCCGGGTTTCGGCTGCCGGTGATTAAAACCAGATTCGCAAGTGGAGTGATTTGAAGGTCTCATCCCGGTCACCAATGATTAGACAGGAAGAAGAAAGAAAAAAACGCATCACGCTAAATTTGGCTTCTGACTTTTCATTTGGATAAATTCTCGCTCTAAAGGTTTAATTGACTTGCGGCGAACGCCTTTCATGGGACGTATAAAAGGCGCGCCCGTTGTGTGAATAAGGAAGCCGATTCAAGGCACTGGAGAAGTAGTGCTTGGCTTCATCTTGCGGGCGCCCGTTCCCTGATGCAGGGTCATGCACCACCCGTGACGTTGAAAACACAAGCGGCGTGAAATAAGGGAAAACAACAGTAAAGGTTGCAAATGAAATAAATGTTCTGATATTATATTCTTGGTTCTTTCGATAAAGGCACGTAGAAGGGAAACAATAAAATAATAAAATATAAAACAATACAATTATTTTATTGTTTCCCTTCTATGTGACTTTACCGAAAGAACCAAGAATATGAATCCCTGCAGTCACGAAAGCTTTAAATCAAAATTTGTTCTGATATTATTTAAATGTGACCATCACTAAGGGATTTGTATATGACGGTGTTTTACCTTACTAATTGGCTGTGTCGGGTGGTGGCGGGTTTAACGACACATTGATATATTTACGCGATATCACCCAAAAAAACCTGTATTACATACAGTGTCGTTTGGGTGTTGGCATCGTCTACAAATGAATGGAACGAAAATGGTTTTTTTTTACAACTGAAGTGCTTCCTGTGAGGATCGTAGACCGGCTTCACAATCTACCACGAACGTTTGGCCAAAGTGATTTGAGATACCCTTGAAAAAGAATATTCACCAAAATTAGTTTTGTACTATATTCGGTCAATTTGGATAATTATTTAAGTCACTAACAATTTGTCCACCATTGTCAGCGTGGCTGATTACAGCTGTTGCTTGTTTTGAAGTTACTTTGATGCTGGTGCACTCGCTGCATAATCAGCCTGATCATCTAATTGGGGTCATGACCTGGTGACCTATGGTAATGAGGGGTCAGTGATGGTACAAAGACACAGGAAAGAGGGGCACGCAAGGAAATTGACCACTTCAGCTGTGACCATGTGACCATGTTGTTTCCCATGAGAGATTCGAAGTTGTTAGGATGTTAGATAAACACTTTGCTTACTCTTGTCACAAGCGGAAACACAAGGTAATTAACATTTGCAGGAGAGGTGATTTTAGACGTGACATATGCATTTCGTAATTCCATGGCCTGTATGCTTGCTGACTAAAGAGAAGCAAGCATTAAAAAAAAATGCATGTCATCATTCCACCTGTAATGTCAGTAATAAGTAGAAAGTTAATCACTGTTTATTTTACACGGTGTAATATTCTAAACTAATTAAGAAACTGGCCAAGCGGTACAGTGGTAGTGTGTGTGGCTCGCAAATTAAACGTTGCGAGTTCAAATCCCGGCCAGGTGTGGTGGTGGGGGGAACTCAACCCATCATACCCTCTAGGGTCGTTAAAATAGCTACCACTTCATCGTGGCTGTCCTATGGAAAGACTCCCCCCGCCGTAGAAATGAAGAATATCCAGCCAGCACTGGCAGAGGGCTGTGAACAGTTGATGAGCATCGTTCCACACTCAACCGAGCTGAACACCATTTACATTTTCTATACTTGTAATTCCACATTGCAACATTTCTTCACCGCGCTCAGTCTCCCTGGCGACAGTTTTTTTCCACAACCTCCACACACCTCGGTAACGTGCCCCAGCGACCGCGTGAAATGAAAGCGATCGCAACAAACGTCCCTGCCGGCCGCCCAGAGCCAGGGCCCAGGAGCAGCTAAAGCGGCGACGGGTAGCTCGGGCCAGAGTCGGTGCTCCGAGGCAGGCAGGTGTAAAGTGCGTGGGAGGCGACCGCGGGGGCGGCTCGACTCTAAAGCGCCGCTCAGCTGCTGAAGCGTCGCCCCACTTCTTTCCCAGAGCGCAGAGCAGCGGAGCGTGCGTGTGAGTGCGTGAGCGTGCGAGCGTGTGAGCGCACGCGTGTGAGTGCGAGCAGAAGGCAGCGGCAGCCTCGCGGTTCGCGCGCTGCGCTACGAATCCAGCGAACCGAGTTCGATGATTCCCACTCGCGGCCAACACCAGTGACGGTTTATCTCCACCGGTGCTGGGCCTTCCCTAGGTCGACTCAGCCTCAATTGAGTACCTAGTGCGATGTGTAAAAAACATTGCCGCTCGGGAGAAATAGGCGACCTGGGCGTGATGCTGGCCAACCACCACCCTTCGTGTGCCGTTCCGGCCTTCATAACAGCGCTCGCGAACAGTCTAATCCTGCATACTGCATAATGCACGGGCATTATATGACTTTGAAACCCCCCGCCCACCTCCTACGCATTTCACAAGTAGTGACTAATCCCGTATTTGCATTTGCCATAAATATGCTAAATTCTTCTTGATATGCAAATTCTTTTGTAAAGGCGCTCTTTCCCCCTTCCAACCCAGCTTAAATATACGCTCCAAGCCTGGTGGTGTTTCATTCAGACGCTGTCTTCTCGACAGACCTGTTCTTCACCTGAGGACGGCTGCTTGCGTTGTGGCCGAAACGTCGTGAGAATTATTTTATTATGTTTTATTTATATTATTTTATTATTTCCCTTCTACGTGACTTTACCGAAAGAACCAAGAAGACGAGACCTCACCTCAATAGTTTGTTAAAGTTATACTGGTGGCTCATTGTGTTTGTGCAAGCAGAGGAAGAAACTCACGGTGAGGGCTCTGCAGCTGCGCTACGGTGGCCATGAATTGCGACTGCCCCATGTGGCTCTGCGCGTGCTGCATCAGCGGCTGCTGCAGCCCGTGCAGCTGCTGCGACTGGAGCTGCATGGGCTGGAGGGTTGTGAGGCTGCCGCCCACGCTGTTGATGACGGGGATGGACTGCGCCTGGCCGCCGCTCAGACCTGCAGTTTGGAACATTTGATGGGGGGGGTGGGGGTCAGAGTGAGTTGGTGTCCACGAGCAATGGAAAAAACACGGATAATCGCGTCGAGTGGGCCACACCGTGAATCACCCTCCTAGCGAGTTAATGAGTTCTCATAATGACTTCATTCAAGAATATGTTCTTCATGGGATTCTTTTTACGCTTTTAGCCTCTCGAGGGGTTCTCTAGAGCTCCGTCTAGTGGAGGTCTTTTCGCCAGCATTGGCATGAGCAAGTAATTGCAGGGCTGAAATTTTAGCTTTCACCACCTCGTTTGTACTGTTATTTATTTCTCTTTGTATATACTCATGTTGGCTCCTTTAACTTAAATAATGAATTCTCACTTGCACGATTTAATGCGTGGATTGTGAGCGCGACAGTCGATTTCAATTCTATAAATCGACGCATCGTCGAACACCTAACATGGAGCCATTCAAACCAAATTTCAACAACGTACGTATATAGGCATATTAAAGTATACTTTCATGAGCCATGTCTAAGAAATGTACTAAATGTGAAATGTCTTGGGCGTTGATGTGTCGAAGCTTAGAAATACTCACTCTGTGCGATGGCCATGACTCCGGGTAGCTGGGTCATGATGAGGTTCTGGTGAGGCTGCTGGGACATGTGGTGCGGAGAGTGCAGGTTGTGGATGTGCGTCAGGGTGCTCACAGGCGGCAGGGTTCCCCCAGAAGTCTGGATCTGGCACCACAGCGGTCACACAAAGACGACAACGAGAGAAAGAGTGTTGTGAGCACATAAAATGTGTGGAACACAGACAGGTACGCAACATGTTCCTGATTAATGTGAAAAAAAATATTTTCAAAAACATTTCCAGCCCTTTGTCAATCCACTGCTGGATGAAGGTTTTCTGTGCCGTCTCAGTCATCGCGGCAGTTGTTTGACCATACTTTACCATGTGTCAGTGTGGGTTGGTGAACGGGGGGGGGGGGGGGGGGCAGGACCACGTGATATATCTCGCCACTTGTGTGAACCATGGCTGGATTTAGATTCATTGTGTCGTGTGCTAACCACTACGTCAGCACTCCACCCACATGGTTTGCATCAAAGTTTAATTGGCAAATGATCATAATATTGGGAGGGGGGGGGGCGGTGTGGAGGGGGGGTTTCTGATCGTAACCAATACGGACTTCAAGGTGTAAAAAAGAAACCCCGTAAATATATATCCTGCGCGATGTGACACTTAGTCTGCTCCCTATAACTGTAGATTGCTGCGAGAATTAATCGCCGAGCCGGGGGCCCAAAACGTCTCCCCTCCCAGACGCAGGTGGGAGAGGGCAAGCGGGGGCCATGGGAAGGGAAGGGGGGTCCAGGCGTCTGCTGTCCCTAGGGCTGTCGGCCTTAGCTACGATGCCACTTGCATGCTCCACGGCACAAAATTAAGTGAGCGGCTGACACCGCAAGCCAACCGCCTCCGCTTCCCAGAGCGGGACCGGCATAGGCGCTTAGTTCAGTCTGAGTGGACCTGGGGGAGGACGCACGCGCGCAGGGTAGATTAAGGCCAATTGTGAGCCATGTGAACGCTCCGCAGTGAGTACGATGAAGGGTTACTTTCTAAGACGAGGAGGGCTAATGGGTGTGAAGATTATAGTGCCTGGGTTGTCAAGGGAAAATGTAAGTTTTTAGATCAAGTTTATTTTTCCTGTGTGGTGTATTTATTTCAATACCAGTCTTCCTGTAATTGAACAATACAATAGACTGCTGGCATCAATTGACCCATCGTTATTCTCATCAGCCATGATCAATCTACTGCTGGATGAAGGCCTTCCCTAGCTGTCGCCATACCCCACAGTCTCATGATTGAACTCATTAAACCATACCTTGTTTTAGGGGCACTCTATCCATCTAATCTGAGATAAACATGTGCTACAAGTGGAAAAGTCATCTTTTAATGCCTGGTCCGGCACTTGTAAGAACGCCTGCTGTTCATACCCACTTACATTTAATGGATGTTCTACAGTAATGTGGAAAAAAAAGTCACCTGTAAGAATACATGTCTTTTCTTCGTAAATAAATCAGTAAAAGTGTTGCATTTTTTTCATATTTCTCAAGGTTGAAAAATATAGCATATTATCTTCAAGGAAACCGTATGTTCCTGAGAATAATCATTGCGCGTGAACGTTGGAAGGAACCGGAAAGAGAGGAAGACCTAACAGAGAATGGCTTGACGACGACATAAGAAGAGATCGGTGCCAGAAAGATGTGGCACTACTTGAGCATATTGGCACAACACAGAGTAAAGTGGAAACAAATGACGATATGTGCAGTCGACACGTATGGGCTATCAGCACATGGATCGCGATGACGATGAAATGTTGTTCCAACAAATGTAGGAGAATGCCTTTATAATCGGCCTTTTATAAACGAAGACTAGAGATGGCCATCAAATGGAGCTGTGTGCGAGCCTGTGACTAAGGCCTCACCTCCATTGTGGGAGACACTTGCTGCAGTACCACCTGTCCCGTCGCCATGGAGATGTTGCCATGGTGACCCGAGGGCGACACCACATCACCTGAGCCTGGCTGGCCATACCGGCCACTTGCCAGCAACGAGCATCCTGATTTGCGAGAGAAAACACGAAAAAAAACGTGTTTTGACTATTAGGTAGCGGAACACCAAGAACGACAAACGTGTAACAACTTTGGAGAGTGTTTTTCTTTTTAACGGTTAAAAATTCTGTGCTTGATAACCACCTTTTTGGTGTACATTTCATCGTTTGTTGAACTTTATCTGCGCACATGGCTGAAGTAATTCATCATCGTCATTATTTATGCCTTGATACAGCGCCTCGTACAAGTATGAAACAAGGCCCGAAGCGCCAACGGAATGAGGAAGCACGGTTGAACACAGCACTCACGCAATCTTAGAGGCACATAAAGACTACTAAATACCATTTTATGTTATTTAGTAGGAGAGTATGCTAAACGAACACATAGAACTCACGTATCGTGAATAAATAAAACGTTTAACGTGGAGAGATGGTGACATGTTGAACTTCGTTTGCACCGTACATAGCCAGCCATGCTAATCGGAGGTGCGTGGGAAGGACAACACACAAAACACAAAAAGCATTTCGAAAGAAATTAGTTTTCAATATAAACGTAAAAGTGCATAACTCCAGTGGCTTCCAACCCCATAATGCTCAAACAACAATGCACAAAAGGCATGCGCACACTATGTTGAAAAGCGTGTTGTTACATCTGTGCAGTTTGTAGCACACATTATGCTCGCTTGGTGGTTAGATCATTCGACGGACAACTTATGCATAGAGACGTGAATATAGAAAAAAAAATGTTGAACAGCAGGAGGTCGATTGCATCATTTGCTTCGCAATTTAAGCACCTTGCCCTGCTCCCCATCTCCCTCCCTCGCCCTCCCACCAACCCCCACACTCCCCCGTGGCACCACCAGCTCCTTATGCTGGCACACGTTTGTGACCTCAACACTTTCTAGCCACCGAGCTCAATGGATTCTTTCCGATACGGTTGTAATAACTGTTAGGCAATCTGTATATATAAAAAAAACAACGGCTACACCTCAACAGGTAGATTTTTTTTAAACCACACGCAAATAAACTAGGAAGGAATTGCGGTGGTGGGGTGGGGGTGGGGAGATTTTTTTTGCTTTTAATGTTTTTCGTGTCGGTGCGAGCTTGTCTCAGCCGGCTCAGTGGGCGGCTGGGGCGGGTGGCGAGGGGGGGGGAACGGGGCAGGCGGTGCAGGTGGGAGATGAGGTGGTGGTGGTGGTGCTCGCTAACAGCACTTGCCCCTACAGTCTGTTAAGGCTATACGGGGGATCTTTGTCTTGTTTTGATGGGAGAAAGTGTGGTGAGCGGTGGCATTGCGGTCAGCGCCCTGTGCTACGAAACTCGACTACCCGAGTTCAATCACCGCACGCGACCAAATAACACTGGCAAATATTTGCTCCAGGTCTGGGCCTCTTCTAGGTCTACTCGGCCTAAAATGAGTACCTGGCGCGATGGGAAAACATTGCCTACTCTGGAGACGAAGGCCACCGGGCGTGGTGTTGGCCACACCACACCCTCGTGTACCATACCGGCCTCCATAGGTGCTCGCTAACAGCACTTGCCCCAACATTCTGGTAAAGGCTGAATGGGGGATCTTTGTCTTTGGTGGTGGGAGAGCAGTGGATTAGCGCGTGGAAGCCGTAGCAGTTTTCACAGAAAGAGGCTTGATTGGGTTTTTTTTTCAGAGCAGGTGACTTGCGTCATTCCAACTTGAACTGTTGTGACCCAGCAAGATAGGATAATTTACAAAAATAAAAAAAACCCCATTCTTTACTATGCTGCAATGAATGAGCGTTCATTTCTATTACAGGTTTGGCATACATTCTAATTGTTGCGTGTATATGTATGTTATGCATATGCCATATAGTTTTACGTCTAGACCAAGAAAAGCCTCAACGAGTCTGCCAAACTTACTTACGCAGTCTGGTGATGTCTCTACCTGATTACGCTTTAGACAGTCTGAATCAGACACAGAAGTTTTAATTGTCCCTGGTGTAGGAGGTTGGTAAAGAGACGGATTGTTTACCACTTGGCTCACACTGTTATCTTGACCAGGGGTTTCCAAACTGCCTGGCCTCACGACCTACCAAGGTGCAACTTTCCACGTTCATATATAAACTAACTTAATTCACAAGCTGTATGTGCCTGGTGATTAATACCATATTCCACATCGCGCAGAGAACACGGATTCAAAATAAAGCAACTAATGTTTTTTTCCGGTCATTGCCAATCATCAGGCATCAGCGTGTAGCAGCTTCATTTGTATTTTAATGGAAAAGTTTGATAAGCATGGAAAGGTGGACCCTGGTGGTTTGCAACGACTGGAGTTCGAGAACCCCTGATCTCGTCGATATCGGGCACTTTGGGATCGGAAGTTTTAAATTCGAAGGCCAGAAAACTTGAGAATGCTCCCCTCAACAGTGCCTGCCACCACACCACTCATGACACGGATATTTATTGATACAACCAGAAATCTAAAGCAAGTCATTAATAATTACCGTTATGAAGAGAAACCCCTTAACAAAGCGGAATGTATATTTTTAGCATTCACTATTAGTTTTCATGCAAAACGCAACGAGAACAATTCAAGACGAGAATTGTCAAGGCAATTTCTTGCTTCAGGTATTGACTTCTGACCCCATGCTGACAGCCCTCACTTGAAACTTGAAAGAGGAGCCGTGTCCATACCGTATCTGTTTTACAGCTCTGCCGTAAAGGTGGCTGTGGACTCCTGGCTATAAAACCTTGGCTTTATATTTCTGAGCACCTCTGCAACCACCCACCCACCCCAACCAACCAACAGCCCCCTCGCCCTGTGCAATCGCAGAGCTCGGCTCAGCCGCTCCTCACCAAATGAAGGCCCCACTCTCCCCTCCCTCGCTCCCTCCTGTCTCGCAACCCCCCACGTGGACTGTAGGACGCCACTTAAGGGCTTGTTTGCAAACCCAGTAGTAAACGTCTCTCTGCCACCTTCCAGTGTCGCGGCACACCTAACGCTCTCCCGGCAGTTGGCGAAGGTCCCAGGGTGGTGGACGCTAATGGCTGGGAAGGTCATGCGGTGCAGACGCGGCCGAGAGCTCCGTCTGAAGAATCAAACGCTGGACTCTGCTCCTTTGCCGAGTGTCCTTGCGTGTGCCGTGCGTTGACCGCGCACCTCGTGCGCACACCGTGATACGCCTGGGTTTTTGTTGCCAGAAAGTGGGTATATAACCATTCATTGGCCATGACAGTGATCCGATGAGTTTGTCACTTTTCGGGGTTACGAGGTATGTATTGTTCTTTGGCAGGGTTTGCATTGCTTTCTGGGGTTTTTTTGTCTCGTCTGTACAGTTTTTTGTTCACTCCATTCGCCTAAATCTCTGGATTAAAAACAAATCGTCCATATTAAAGTGAAATCCTCACGTGTCATGGCAGATCCTTCCTCACTCCCTTCAGCAGTGGAAGTTTTCTAGTCAAGCCCGGCATGCGATTGCGAAAATTCCAAGCAAACCATCGACCCCACACTAAATTGTGAAAAATTCAACAGGGGCATTGAAGCAGTCCACCGCAACTCAACCAAAGAAATATCATGCATTACTCATCTGGGCAGTCTTACAAGTTGCTGTTTATCCAGCCGTATGCACGAGAGCCTAAATGTACCAATAGCATAACATTTGTGGACAATTTGTATAAATCGTACGTAAAACATTTGTACATGCACGAGAAGGAAACTGCCACTACTTACGCACATATGTAGGATGGACAACAAAAGGAAAATTAAATGTGTGTTGTTTGGAAAAATGAGAGAAACCAGAAAGAGAGGAAGACCTAACAGAGAATGCATTGACGACATAAGAAGAGATTGGTGCCAGAAAGATGTGCCACTACTTGAGCATATTGGCACAAGACAGAGGACATTGGAAACAAATGACGCAATGTGCAATGGACACCTACCAGGTTATTTGCCCATGGATCGTGATGATGATATGCACGATTCAATGCATGTACCAAGAGCATAAGAATCAACATGCCTACTGGAAAACAAAGAACCTAATGTTTGTTTAATTACTCTAAAAAGTTGTGTTGGGCTTCTCTGCACTGATTTCCATCAGTTGTCAAATGGTCGATAATGGTTACGTTCAAAGACAAAGTGTTAAGACAACACTACATGTCAGGGCACGTCGACCGTGTTTAGCGCCGACAATTTTTCATCCTCCCGCAGAGCCATTAAATTAATGAAGGCTGCCCAGGGAGCGGTTTGATTGAGTCACGTGGGTCTCAAGTTAATTCTGCCGTCGCCGGATCACACTGACTGAAAATGAGGCACATACATGAGCACAGTCATGCACCAGGGCTGACTTTCCAAATGCCTCGTCTGAAAAATTCTGAAAGTTTACCGAAACCTTATAAGCCCTTACCATGGCTAAGTAAGCAATTTAACCACGTAACAGAATCAGATAATTTCAATTTTGAGTTGTTTCTCTTTTCCTCTTCTTTAAAAACTATACTGCTCTTGTAAAGCTCGTTTTTATTTCCTAAATAATTTAACTGAACATTTCTCTCTTGACAGGTACTTTCCTCCACACAGTACTGGGAGGGTTGGGTGTGATCTGTTTTTACTGCACTAGGCCAAAGCCTTTCCACACATCAGTGAAAAGCGTGACGTTGCCACAATCTTGATGCCAAGACAAACTCAACGGGGCCGAATGTTTGATCAGAGGTGCAGCAGTCGCCTCTGACTACCTCATCACATTCCCATCAGACGGTCTCTGCTAAGGAAGAGAACACGAATGTGAAAACACAAGCAGAGCTTGTATACATGTCAGCGGTATACCGTCATCCCTCGTATGCATGCAACTTGGTATCGATTCGTCCATTGAAATTGATCGTTATACTCGAAATACATGGACAAAGTAAGAGAGGATACATTGGAAATGGAATGAGCAGGAAACGTACAAACTGTTCTATTAAAGAAAGAAAGAGCATTTTATCACATAAAAGTGGAGGCTACGCATCACAGGTAGACCACACGGTGAAATACTGAAGTAATA